GGCCCCGCCGCCGCCATACGCGGCGGCGGGGCCGAGGCGCCGCGTCGAGCCCGGGCCCGGGGCGCTGCCACGTCTCCCCCCGAGCCCACCACAGGCGAGGAAGGGCCACGGCTGGCGACCGTTAAGGGCTGAGAGAGAGGGGCCGCACCGCCTCACCTACCTGCCGCGTCGCGACGAGCCGAGCAGGGTCCCGAAACGCCTGAGGGAGCGGGCGGCCATGGCCCCGGCCCGGAGCGACTGAGGGAGGGAAGGTGGGAAGGGAACCAGGCACCGCCCGCCCCAAACTACAACTCCCAGGGAGCTCCTGGGCGGACTACCAGGACCGGCGGGCAGCGGGGCTGGGCGGGAAGGGGCTCAGCGCGGGGTGGGGGACGGTAGCCCGGTCATGGTGGCAGCAGGAAGGGCCTCAGAAGGGTCTGGGCTGGTAGCCAGGCCATGGTGGCACTGGGAAGGGCCTCGGAAGGGGGTCTGGGCTGATAACCTGGTCATGGTGGCACCGGGAAGCGCCTCAGCGGGGGATGTGGGCTGGTAGCCCGGCCATGCTGGCACTGGCAAGGGCGTCAGAAGGGGGTCTGGGCTGGTAGCCCCGCCATGGTGGCACCGGGAACTGCCTCAGAAGCGGATCTGGGCTGATAACCCAGCCGTGGTGGTACCGGGAAGGGCCTCATGAGGCAATCTGGGCCAATAGCCTGGCCATGGTGGCACTGGCAACGGTCTCAGAAGGGGGTCTAGGCCAATAACTCAGCCATGGTGGCACTGGGAAGGGCCTCAGAGAGGGGTCTGGACTGATAACCCAGCCATGGTGGCACTTGGAAGGGTCTCACTGGGGGGTGTGGGCTGGTAGCCTGGCCATGGTGGCACAGGGAAGGGCCTCAGAAGGGTATCTGGTCCAGTAGCCTAGTCATGGTGGCACCGGGAAGCATCTCAGCTGGGGGTCTGGGCCAATAACCTGGCCATGGTGGCACTGGGAACTGCCTCAGAAGCAGATCTGGGCTGATAGCCCAGTCATGGTGGCACTGGGAAACGCCTCAGCAGGGGGTGTGGGTAGGTAGCCAGGCCATGGTGTCACTGGGTAGTGCCTCAGAAGGGTGTCTGGGCTGATAACCTGGCCATGGTGGCACTGGGAAGGGCCTCAGCGGAGGGTGTGGGCTGGTAGCCCGGCCATGGCACCACAAGGAAGCATCTCAGCACGGGGTCTGGGCAAGTAGCCTGGCCATGGCAACACTGGGACCCCCCGGGCTTGATATACCACCCTGGGCCCTGCAGCTTCAGGGAGGTGATAAGGCGAGAGGTTTCACTTCTTCATCAATAGACTGAGGGAGGCTGACCTGAGGTGGAATAAACAGCGTTTCTTACCTCATGTTGAAATCAACATTAAAAACCCCCAAAACTTTGGCAGAGTGTGGCTTTTAACCTCCCAGGGGGGAGCCTACAGGAAAGATAGGTGTCCTGGGTTGATTGACACAGGGTAATTTCTCTTCCAATGCTTGGGAAAACTGCACTTTTAGAAGACTCCAGTGTCTGATTTTGTGAAGCTATTTACTTTATAGCCAGCTCTGGGATGGGGGTATCACGTTCTCTGCATTTTCGAGCCTTGCTGGGTACAGGGACGAGGAGGAACGAGACCCAGGCACTTGACCAAGGCTGGTGAACAGGAGTATTTCATACCATGAGCGTCACAATCAATATAAATTAGAAAGTTTGCTGTGTAGTTTCTCTCTCCCTTGGTGGCAGCAGCAGTCAGAGAACTTGCTTTGTGCTGGACCCCTGAGCCCTCCCCTTCCTCCTGAAGCTGCAGCGCTCACAGTGTCCCACATTTGCTGTCCCCTGCTGGGAGTGCACAGCTTCCTGCTGGTAGAATGGGCTGATATAATCCTTGTGTATTTAATATTGGTATCGGGATCAATATTGGTTCTTTAGTATTATTAATGTTAGTTATTTAGTCTTGTCCTATTAAATCTATTTATATTTCAACTCTCGTCTTTCCTTGTTTTTCCCCGATTCCCCTTCCTGGGTGGGGAGGGGTCATTGGTGATAGAGTAATTGTCTAAATGACAATAAATTGTTGTGGGTTTCTCAAGACATAACAATGGGGAGGGACTCTTTCTCAGGGGGTGTTGTGATAGGACAAAGGGAAATGGTCTTATACCGAAAGAGGGAAGATTTAGGTTAGATATCAGCATGAAATTCTTTACTATGAGGGTGGTGAGAAACTGGAACAGGTTGCCCAGAGAAGCTGTGGATGCTCCATCCCTGGAAGGGTTCAAGATCAGGCTGGATGGGGCTCTGAGCAACCTGCTCTAGTGGGAGGTGTCCCTGCCCAGGGCAGGGGGGTTGGAACTCGATGATCTCTAAGGTCCCTTCCAACTCTAACCATTCCATGGTCGTGTTGGTCCAGCTCCGTTTCTCCCCACTGTGGGCACAGGCTCCTCATTTTGTTAGGGGAAGAGGTGATGTTTTGAGGAGAGGGTTTTTACCCTTTTCTGAAGTGAAATGGGATGTTGTGAGTCCAGGTCCCAGGGGGAACAGGAGCAGTGACATCTGGCACAGGGAATTGCTGCCGAGAGGAGGAATGAGCACCATCAGGATCCTCATCCTGGGGACATGGGGTGCCCCTCCAGCCTGGGCAGCAAAGCTGACGGCTCTGAGCTAACTACCCTCACTAACCCAGCACAGATCCCCCCAGCCTGCCCACCCGACTGCCGCTGCCCAGGGGTGCTGAGCTCCCCCCAGACCCCTCCTGCCTCACGTCACTGCGGGCAGGAGTTGTTCACCCACCCTGCTCCCTACAGCCAGGGGAAGGGGCAGACCAGTGCCAGCGTTTTTATTAAAAGCTGCTTACCTCGGTAGTAACAAGAGGGCTTTGAAAGAGCGAGCTCCAAAGGTTAATTGTGGCAGTCGTTAGCATGAGTGGGTGACAGGCCTGCTCCCTTGTTTCCAACACAAAAGCCTGGGCCTTTCGTTTTTTATTCCTGTCCCTTGTTTCTGCCTGTGCTAAATGACCTTCCTCTATTTCTCTTTTCTGTTCCAGTCCCCTCATTTGAAAGCGCTTCTTTTTTTTTTTTAAAAAATTTTTAAACTTTCCTCGGCTCCATTTTGACCACATGCCTTGGCAAACTGTGTCTGACTGCAGCAGCAACAGCCTGAATGTGCTGTTGGCCAGGAGACAGCCCTGTCCCTTTGCCCGCTCCCCCGCAAGCTGGCACGGGGCTAGGGCAGAGGGAGCCAGGCTGCCTCCAGCCTCAGCCCTTTGCAGCACTTCTAAGCTGTTTAGCAAGGCTGAAAGGTGTCCGATGTTAATTTGCTTTCAAATGCTGACACTTGAGCTTTGTTCATTCCCAAGGGAAGCCAGCGTGCCCTCACCCTTACTGCCTGGAGGATGAGAAGGAAATACTGGACAAGGGCACTTGGTTGAGGCACAGTGAGCTCGAGACACGAGGAACCCTGAGATGAGACCCTGCGGAGCTGGGAGCAGTAAGCAGGGCGAATGATCGGCGTCTCCCAAGTGTCCGGTCCTGAGCAGCTCATGAACTTCAACACCGAAGCAGCCAAAAATCCCCAATGAGTCCGTGGTTACTTTGGAAAGCGGTAGCCTGGCCTCCAGCAGCATCCCCTGGGTGGCACATGCTGATCCCGATAAATCCAAGTGCTGGCCAGGCAATGTTGACTGCCAGCCCCCCCGGCTTTCCCCTCCTTCCTTGGGCACCACCACGGGCACACACACCTTGCGCCGAACTCCTGGCCCTGTGGGAGGCTCCCCCCAAGATGGGTTCCTCAGTAGTATGCGACCCTGATCCACAACGGATCCCCCTTCCCCACCCGCCTCCCAAATCCCCCTCCCGTCCCCTTCCCCATGGTTTATAGTGTTGCCCACGAGGCAGACGGAGCCGCAGTGGTGGGGCCTGGGAGGGCAGCTCTCCCCCCATGCCTTCCCAGCGCCCTCCCAGCGCCTCGGAGAAAGGGGGCTTGTAGCTTCTCCGTGAGCCCCAGTGTCCGGCAGGGGCTCGGCAGGCGTTCCCACAGCCTGGCTTAAGTCTGCTTCTTTTCCCATTCCTGCAGAGAAAGGGAGAAAAGCAGGGCATGAGGAGACAGCGCTGGAGAAGGGGGCACTGAGCCTTTCGAGGACATCCCTCCCTGCTGACTGCTTTGGACCACCCCAGCGTCTTCAAAGGTTGGGGTCACTGCTGTCCCGGGCATTGTGGAGGTGATGCTCTCCCCTCTGCCCCTCCCAAACCTCCCTCCAAGCTGGGCTCCTGCCAGCAGCGAGTGGGACAGCCTGGCTACAGGGGACCCTGGCAGTACCCCTTGCTTCTGCGGTAGGGAGCACCCCCGGCCCCCAAATTTCCTGGTCAGCAAGGGGGACAGGACGAAGGCTGAGATTTCCCGTGGGGTCAAGGAGGAGAGGGAGAGCGAAGCAGGACCTTGGCCTTGCGCAGCACGTTTCCCTTGTTGGCAGGGAGGATGGAGGGACTTCTCTTCCTCAGTTCGGCTGCACAGTTAACGGGGACCAAGTGCTCAGGGGTGCTCCCATTTGGCTTGTTTGGAGCTTCCTGTGGAAAAGGGGGAGCAAGAAGGAGGAGGATTTAGGAGACCCAGGGAGCAAGGACAGCCAGGGGAAACAGAAAAGCACAAACTGTCATGAGGTTAAAACTGATGTGGCCAAACCTAATTGACACTTCGCTTCCCACCTCTGTCCACAACGGGGCAAAGCAGCAGGGATGTCCCCTCTTCCCCGTGTGCTGCTCCCCCCGCCACCCCAAACACCGTTGCTGGGGGAAGCCGGAGCCGCGAGAGGGAGGAAGAAGGGATGCGTACCCCATTCTCAGCCTTGCCGGTCACAGCCAGCCCCAGGGCCGGCCCTCCCGCCAGCGACTGCTTCAGCCGCTCCTTCACTTCGCTCAGCTTCAGCTCCAGGTCCACACGGCGCTGCTCCTTCTGCCGGCACTGCTCCTCCAGCACCGCCACCCGCTGCTCCAGGTCCTGCTGCTTCGGCCCTGCTCGCACAAGCGCACCCAGCTCAGCGCCTTCGCTCAGGGATGGAGAAGTCACCCATCCTTCTGGACAGGGACGCTAGATGGGGCTGCCAGCCCGGCGCTGTGCTGCAGCCAGCCTGGCTTACAGCCACCATGTCACCGCCACCCCAGCGTCCCCATCCCACCCCTGGCTCCACAGCCTTCCCCCTCTACCCAGAATAGAATTATAGAATCCTCTAGGTTGGAAGGGACCTTAGAGATCATCTAGTCCAACCATCAACCTAACTCTGACAAAAAAAAAAAAAAAAAAAAAAAACAAATCACTAAACCA